TATCTTGAAAGGCTTATAAGGCTTATAAGGCTCGACTTTATCTTGAAAGGCTTTTTTTAATGTTTACTTTTATCATAAACAATGTTAGAACAATTATATGAGCTTTAAATATAAATCTCAATTCGAAAATAGAGATTACAGTTGAAGTTGCTTTGAAAATTTTACTTAAAACATTAAAAAAAGCCTTTATGGAACTTGCTCCCAAACGACATACGAGAAATTCAGTCGCTTTTCATATTCAAGAAACGTATCGATGCTTTAGATCTAGTGGCTCTTTGCCGTAAGTAATTGGCTTATTGATTTCAGTATGTATTGTATGATTAAGTATCACTGTGCATTTCTCTATGATTTCTTTCACTTTATCGTTTGAATAAAGTATTATTATTATTATTATTATTATTAAAACATCTTTTGTAATTCTTTTTTATCCAACAAATTAATCACGTTGATAATTGAAATTTTTCTTTTCTTTTTAAACTTGTAAACCTTTAAAAACTTTGCTGAAGACGTCTTTTTCTTGAATTTAGTTTTCGAAAGTTAAACCTATCACTACTCACAAACGCCAACCAACTCACCAACCCACCAACACCAACCAGCGGTCACCAACACCAACCAACAGTCACAAACGCCAACCAACTCACCAACTCACAAACGCCAACCAACCCACCAACACCAACCAGCAGTCACAAACGCAACCAACTCACCAACTCATCAACGCCAACCAACCCACCAACACCAACCAGCAGTCACCAACACCAACCAACAGTCACAAACGCAACCAACTCACCAACTCATCAACGCCAACCAACCCACCAACACCAACCAGCAGTCACCAACACCAACCAACAGTCACAAACGCCAACCAACAGTCACAAACGCCAACCAACCCACCAACACCAACCAGCAGTCACCAACACCAACAGTCACCAACTTTGAAGATATCAAGGGATTCTTTGAAATCCCTTGATATCATCACATCACGTCAATATCAAATCTCCTTTTTTTTCTTTTCTCAAAAAGGTCTTCAGGGCCCCAACCGCCTATCGATCAAAGTGAGGCAAAGGGGCAGACTGGACTCGGCCCAGCCCCTGCCTTTTTTGAGACCTCAGCGTCCCCCCCCTCACCCCTTCACCCCTTCTCCTTTTCTCACTCAATTCACTCATTGACGTCTTCTTTTTCCTTCTTTTCCCTTCTCTTTCATCTTCCCATTTTTTCATCTCTTTACATCTCTTTGTGTTTGAACTTTTTCCCCCTTCTGAATTCTTTGAAAATATCTTTCTCCACACTCAATTTCCCCGGGAAAACGATCCTTTTTCTGCCTTGATTTGAAACATTCGAGGTGTTTTTCTCTTTGAGAAGTGGGCACTAGAAATTACTCTTTTTATCTTTTCTTTAGTCATTGAAAGTTTGAACATTCAAAATAGGCTACTTTGGAACTTTGATTTAAATTTTTGATCCTTTATTAGCTTGCTATCTGATTTTGCTTTCCTTGATTGATTTGCTATTTTGCTATCCTTGATTAGTTATCTCATTTTGAATACTTTTTAAGCTGTTTTTAAGTCGTTTTTTAAGTAAATCATTTGAATTTTTGATCTAGAATTGAACATTTTTGTATGTAAGAACTTTCTCTGTTGTCATCTATCACACTATTCCCCATACTGACCTATTAAAAATTAAATAAACCTTGGAAAATCAAGTTTGGAAGAACCATAAAACGAGAATCATTGATAGAAATGTTTTTTTTTTCAATATGCTGATTCATTTATTTCACTATTCTGCTTATCTTTCTCTTTCTTTGATTAAACTTTAGAAAAGTCGGAGATTTTTGTCTTTAATTAATCAATTTCAGTGCATTTTGGTCCTAATTACAATGAAATACCAAATCTTTTTTCTGCTTTAATTATACAATTGCAGATTCGAAATCAGCGTCAAAAAGCGCATCCGATAGGCTATTTCCCGAGTCAAAAAGTGGCTTTTACATTCCCCGTTGACAACATTCCCCTAGTTAGAAACGATATGCACATTCTAACCAAATTCTAACCAAATTGAAACTTATCTTCCTACTTTCCTTTGAATCTCATTTCTAACTTTAAATTCAGCTTCTCAATTCGCTTACTCAATAAGATATTGAATATATTGGGTTGGGGAGAATGAGTCGGCGCCAAACTTTAAAGGGACTTTTTGCACACATAAAGCCTTCTTTAAACATACGTTTGGTTTCATCAAAAGGATCCACTATTTCTCTACAAAATCACTTTTGAGAGATTCCACAAAGCTTTTCTTTCGTGGAGTTTATGAACTTCCAAACGCAGCTGGTTAAAATGGCAAAGAGTCCGACTCATCATTTGAACAGTTTCTTTCACATAAACCTTCTTTGGTGTTTATATAAAAAAGATAGAGCACATTCAATTACTTAAGTTGCCAAATTTGCAGGAAGATCCCACCAATGGTTTTTTCTAGATCACAGTTTGTAGTTTTTGTGAAAAAATGGCTTTTTCTTGAGCGGAGGGGCTGTTTGAATTTTCTTTTAAATGTCATTTTGTAGAGAATTAGTTAACCATTCTACTGATATCAAACGCATATTATTTGACGAAGTCGAATAGAAGTTTTAGACATTTTTTTCATTTTCGGCGCCGACTCATTCTCCCCAACCCAATAGTTACAGCAATTAATAACAGCTTTAAACTGTATTTTAACTATTTAAATATCGTGCATTTTAAACTATTAGATAAATACTTAAATATTAACTCAGTAAGACATTTGGTTGCAATCTAATTGGTTTAAAAAAATGTAAGAACATTAACTCAATAAGAAATTTGGCGTCAACCTTGAAACTTAATATTTTCGTGCTACAAAAAGATCTTCATTGCTCTTTGTGAATGTTCATTACCTCGTTAGAGTCTCAAAAATTGAAAAACAATTCACGTTTGCGATTTTTGAACTATACACCATTGAGCCATTTGAATTTTGTGGCCTTTTACAGGTCAATGTTTCAAAGTTGGGCATATGGTTCGATGTGCGTGAGCACCAATCACTTGAAACTATATGATTGTCTCAAAAATCGATGGGCTATGAATTTTCTTTAAATCCTTTGTCTCAACTTGATCCTTCATTCAACTTTACCCGGGAAACTGATCTTTCCTAAGTGTGCGTTTCAAAAAACGCATTACTCGTGAGGAACACACTCTAGTGGAAACTGATCTTTCACAGATTGATTTTTCAAAGTTATTCAACATTTTCGATATCGCTTTAATCTAATTGGTTTTAAAAATTGATGAGCTTTTCATTTTCTTATTCTTAAATCCTTTGTTTCAACTTGATCTCAACAATTGTCACGAATCTTGCTTCCAAATCGTTCGAATATGTTTTTATTGCTTTCAAAACGCATAGCTTTTCAAATTTAACACACTCTAATTACTACTCTAATCTAACAAATTCTAAAATCTTGAAACTAAAACTCTACGCAACTTTCATTCTTTCATCACCCCATTTGTATACTTTCTTTTTTAATGCAAAATCACTTCAATCTTGATTCAAAATTGATTTCACTCAATTGGAAACAAATCCCCGTATTAAACTCTCTTTAAAATGTCATATTTTTGAAAAATAAAAAAGAAAGGTTTAAAATTCATGTCTAAAATCTAAAACGACGAAATCCCGGCAATTATCACAAATTTCCGCTCGATTTTTTCCCTTTTTTCGCTCGAAACTCAGATTTCTCTGCATTCTATGTACTCAAAAATGAGATGGGGGAAAAGGAAAGAAAAGAGGGGAAAAGAAAAAGAAAAAAGAAAAAAAATTGAAACGTGAGAAAAAGGGATCGGGGAATAGCCAGCCACCGTCCCCTCGTGGAGGAAAAAGATTCGAAAAAGAGAAAAATCGGGAAAGAAGTTTTGGGTTATGTCTGGGATAAAGAAAAAAAAGAACGAGTAAAGAAAAATCTCTTTTCTTTTCTCTGGAGGAATCTTTAGGCACAGATCTGACGGGAAGTTCTCGAACGTTTTCCCGAGAAACAGACAAACATAGCTATAAGGTCTAGGTTAAAGTAAAAATTATGTACTGTAAACATTTTGATATTTAGCTTGTGAGACTTGTGAGACCCCTTTTCCCATTGGCAATCCAACTTTAAGCTCAAATTTCTTGGTGTTGGGCTCTCCAATAGAAATAGTTTTTATACCAATCGACAGAGAAAGACTTGGCGCATCAAATGATACCAAGAATATTGAAATTGAAAAGCCCAACACCAAGATATTTGAGCTCAAAGTTAGATTGTCAATGGCAAAAAGGGGCGGGGCGCATTTCAAATGTCTGATAAACGTTTTTTTCTATCAATAAACTGTCCTTTCACGGTTGATTTTTGAAATTTTGCTTCGATTAAGCAAATTTCTGTCTCTTATTCTTTCGTTTCACACCTTTAAGCAATTTTTTGGACTTTCAAACGTTTGTCTGAATTGCACTTTGAATTTCATAGTGAACATACCGTATTCTCTCGAATAAACGTGTATTTTGCTAGTTTTAATCCAAGCATATGTACCTTTTCTTTTAGTAAAGCTTTTTCCACGTCCCAGTCTTGGATGGGGTTCGGGTGGGGGGCAAAGGGACCTCAGATCCCTCTTGCCCCTCCCCCCCCATTCCCCGACTGAACTCTGTGCTTTCCATCTTCCTTTTTCCGAATTCTTTTTCTCCATTTCCCCCTTTTTACATGTTTTCTTTTATCCTTTTTTTTCTCAAACCCACTTCCTCCACTTGTTCTCACTTGTTCTCACTTCAATTTTTTCTTTTTTTTTGCAAAAAGCAAAAATCCTGAAAACGTGCAAACTACTGAAAAACATTTTTTGTCATTTTGCCAGAGTTTAAAAAAAACATGAAGCGCCTAAACATGAAGTGCCTTATTTTTATATTTTGCTTTGCTTATTTTTCGGTTTCAAATCCTGTTTTATTGTTTATTTATAAACTCAAACCTGGTGAGATGCTTTTTCTATATTCTGATGACCATTCTGATGTTTCTCAAGCACTTACAAGAGCTTCGTTTTCCAGAAAAATCCGTCGCGGTGGCATCGACAGGCGGAGGAACGGGGAATGGCGGTGGAAATGGAGGAGGAGGGGGACAAGTGCATGGATGGGCGATCAGAGGAAATGGGATGAATACGGGTGAATCCCTCTCAGCACCCAACATCCCTCATCGACGATCCATCTCGACCGCCGTCGCCCCAAATCAACGCGAGTTGGAGCACTTCTATCGGTGAGTGAATAGGGGAAATTACGAGATCAATAGCGCGCTATAGCGTGCTCCCGGGAAAACTTTGAAACAAGATATTGACCCTCGTTTAATCAGTGTGACTCCCGTAAATTTTTTGCAAAAACTTTTGTTTCAAAATTTTCAAGTTTTTATCAATGAAAAAACTCGAATCGAGCATCGATTGATTATAAAAAAAAAGGAAAAATGTTTCAAAATGGAGCCCTCATTTACAGAGCGAATTTCCCGGAGCGATGCCCGCCAAGCTCTGGTGCGGCCACTCCAGGCAGTCCAAATATGACTGGAGGAGGGTACGGTAGTGGGCATCAATTCTATCCACATCCACAACCCGGATTTTATAATGTAAGTGTTTTTAGGTACTTGATCGCCATACAGCTATAGAAATCTGTTAAAAAAATCAAATCGAGGATTGATGCGTTTAAATTAAAATATCAGAGCTAAAATTACTAGTATTTGGATAATTTTAATTGAAAAAATTCGACTTTTGTACAATTTTCTTGTGCTAAATTGTTTACGGAATGCAAAAATTAGAGAAACTCTTTGTACCAAAGAATTTCATTCCGTTCTCTGAAATGTTCTCTGAACCGTTCTCTGAACCGTTCTCTGAACCGTTCTCTGAAATGTTCTCTGAACCGTTCTCTGAACCGTTCTCTGAAATGCTTTTGTTTGAAATTCGCAAATTTTTAGGAGGATCCGGTTGCCTATCATCGTCAATTCGATCCCGAACGCTTCTCGCCGCCACTTTTAGATGACAATCTGTCTTGTCAAAGAGCTGTGGGTTTTTAGCTTTTTGGTGTTTTTTGGTTTTACGGTAGTTTGTTTCAATTTAGTTTGTTTTCCAGTTTCTGATTACCTTTTCAAAGCAATTTTTCATGTAAAAGATCAGCAAACTTTTGAGATTGAATGAGAATCATCAAAGTTGATTGTAAAGTTGATTTTCAATACAAAAAAATTCCTAACAAATTCCATTGCGATTTTCATTGCGTATGCGATTTTTTTTATTTATTAATGTTCGAAAATGACTCTTCGTTATTAGCAAACGATCTACTTAATTAGGTCTACAATTTGAAACATTTCCCACCATTTTCAGCAATTCCCTTCAAGCCAGGCGAGTCGTGTCGAACAACAACAAAACGACAACAACAACAACAACAACAACAATATCCATTCCAGAACGGGCAACAGCAAGTGAGAGACCAGGAAACTTTTGGGTTTGAATGGTGATAAGAGATTAGAAGAATCTATACCAACTGGTTACCAGTGGTGGGTTTATTGCATACACAAAATACGGCAATCACAATTCACAACACACACAATACTAGGCTATATCTTAGCTTAACCCACACCTTCCTTGGCTCCCCACATAGCTTCTTCTGGCGGTGAAGAGAAGCTTTACAGAACTAGCGCCTTTACTAGTCTACCTATCTAACCAAAGCTGGAGCAGAGCTTACAGCATTCAAGAAAGAGATTCCTGGCTCATCTGCTGGATTCGAGCCAGAGACTAACCGAGCTCGACGTTGCTTGATCTCACAGGATCCCATGTTTCAACGTGGCCAGACCGTAGCCGTTAAGATTTCTAGCGTTAAGAGCTCACAGTGAGCTGAAAGGTTACCCTCATTTGAAACCCAATCATTTTCAGTCATTAAACGCGACTCCAAACTCGCAAATGCCCCAAAGATGGCCACAAATCAAAACGGAAGAGACCAACAATTGGGATCAAACGAAAAATAATAATTGGCAGGTTGGTCTTTTGAAAGAATATTTGGGGAAGTCACAAAATCTGGTGTAAAAGACTTACCGTAAATACTGTAATAGTACCCCACCCCCTCGTACAGTCGCGTAGTCGCAAAAGTTTTTTAGTATTTCATTTTTTTTTCAAAGCACTCGTACTTTCAAAAAATGCGTCTTTGGTATCAAAAAATAGCCCTGAATTTCAGCTATTTTTTGATACCTAAGCGCACATTGTAGCATAAACCAGTGTCGAGAAAAACTCGTTCAAAGCTAGACTACGCAACACTCCGCACCGTCATTATGGAGGTGCGGTACTATTACAGTATTTACGGTATGCATATTACGACTTATGCACTTACAACGATTTTTGAGATTCCCCTAAATTTAGCTGTATTTTTGATACAGCTTTTGATACAGATTCGATCTCGTTAAGCCATTTTTTTTCACTTAAACAGTTTTTTTGAGGGGAACAATGCGAGAGTTGAAGAGTTTTTCCCTCTCGATTCTCAATCAAAATGAGATCAAAATGAAAATTTTAGAAAAACGAGCAATGGTCAAACAATTTCGACGCACAGAAGCGAATGCTTTGGAGCCAACAACAGCCCCATCAACCACAACGAAAAGAGAGTTGGCACGGGAAGATTCATCAACCACAACACACTTCTCCATTATCAATCAATACCGGTGAGTGGCAGTGAATGGCATTGGAGAATCTATTGGAGCAGTGAATGGCACTTCAATAGATTCTACGACCTTGAAAACCATAGGGAAGTTGGGAATAAACTTTTAACATAAAATCTCATTTGGGAAAGTAGAGAAGAAAAAAAAGTTGCTAGATCTGTAGATAAGATTAGGGTAGAAAGCAAAAAAAATGAAAAGAAAACACTTTTTAAAAAAACGCAGATAAAATAGACAATTGAGTGGGTGGTTTTGAATGAAATTTTAAATCAAAATCAAAATGAATAGCCATTCATTTTATTTCAAACTCCGAGAATAGTTTCCCCATAGAACACATAGAACACATCAGACATTTTGCTTCAATGCGGTCAGTGTTTTGAATATTTCAAAGTTTCGATCAAATTTTTACCGAAAACCTACCGTAATCTTGCTTCTTTATATCTCAAATTTGCTAAAATCTTGTTTTTCAGCTTCCCATCAACAGTCCTCTTCCTCCCTTCCCACTCCACCAATGCGCGATGGCTTTATCGCTCCACAACAGCCATATCAGGTGAGAAAAATGGAAACAGATCATTAAAAGTTCATAAAAACTTCATAAGCAATAGTTCTAGTAAAAAAAACATTTAAGCTTTATTAATGTAATACGACAAAAACTGCACTTTAAAAAGCTTAATGAAAAGAGAGATAAGTAACCAAATTTAGAGAGATAAGGAACGAAATTTAGAGAGAAGGAAGAGATTTAGAGAGTTAAGGAACCGAATTTAGAGAGATAAGGAACCAAATCGGAGAGATAAGGAACCAAATTCAGAGAGTTAAGGAACCGAATTTAGAAAGATGAGGAACCAAATTCAGAGAGATAAGGAGAAAAATTAGAGAGAAACATTTATGATTTTGTGCATTTTTTGATATCCCACTGAATTCTATAATATGCCCTGAAAAGTTTTGGCGGGATTACGGTAATGGGCAGTTTATAAAGGAGGCATTTTGCTGAAAATTTCATTCTGATTGATTTTTAGCTTACAGTTTATCAAGTACAGTCGAACTTCGATATAACGAATCGCTCGGGACTGAAAACTTCGATATAACGGACTTAAAACGTGCCTCAAATTTTCTGCGCAGTTGCCCTGGACGGTCACTGATTGCATTTGGCTGGGGTAGCTACGGTAGCATCAAGGGCAACTACGCAGAAATTTTGGGCACATTTTAAAATTTCAAATTCATTGCATCGAAGTTCGCTGAGCCCAAAACTTATGCCTAGCTGCCCCAGACAAATGCAAGCAGTGGCCATCGAGGGCAACTACGCGGAAAATTTGGGGCACGTTTTAGGTTTGTTATATTGAAGTTTTTGGTCCCGAGCGATTCGTTATATCGAAGTTTGACTGTATTTTAACTAACAACAAACCTTAACTCTTTTAAATAAAGTTATCCTCGTGAAAGATCAGAATTTCTTTTTTCTTTTCGAGATATAACAAAAGCTCGTTTCAATATTCGCAACTTTCCAAGCAATAGTGCCAAATCTAATCTCACTCTGACTCTCTATTTTCAGCTTTCTCTAATAATGAAATTCTCTAATTGGTCCTTTGTTTTCCCGAACAAAAAGCGAAAAAAAACGAGATTTTCTTGGCAAAAACAGTTGTTGTTTGTGCCAAAACGAGATTTTCTCTCCCCGATTTCTCATTGACTCTCAGACTTTCTCGTGTCTCAATTCTCTCTTTTATAATCATTCTCACCCGCCTGACTCATCGATTAGTGCAGAAAATTTTCCCAATTTCCAATATTTTCTCTTTTTCTTTTTTGCTTTACTTTCCATTGCTGAATTGTTTAAAGTTAAAGTTTAAATTTATCAAGTTTTTCCATAACAAGTAATACGTAAAAAGTTGAGCTTCGAGCGCCAAGAGCGCCATTTCTAGTAATCGAGTTTCTAGATCGATTCTGCAAATTCCACCGAAAAAATGGCAAGATTGCCGGGAAATTTTCAGATTCCAATATGGATCCTGATCTCGGTTAGACTAAAGTACAAACTCTAGAGTACAAACCTGCAGTACAAACCTGCAGTACAAGTACAAACCCCTGACCTGACTTGAATTAATTGACTTGACTGACTTGAATTAATTTTCTTAAATTTTTAAAACAACCCAGTAGAGTTAGAGTTAGCCCATTCTATTAGTTATAGCTCATCAAGAAAGTTTCGGATTATTTTTAAATTTTTAATAAACCAGTCGTTTTCAAATACAAACCCTTTTTTGGTCCGAATTGATCCCAAAAAAAAAAAAAGTTGCTCATTGCAATGTTTTGATGAACTTCAGTGACCAAAAATTCCCAAATAAAAGAAACGACGAAATCAATTTTTCCAAAATATTTTAGGCATTCAAATATTTTTGCAGTTTTATCGTTTTCAAAACGTCAGTAAAACATTTTCAAAAGCATTTTTTCTAAAATTATTTTAAAATCGTTCAGTTTCAATCAAATTTCAATGAATTCTTGAATAATTAAGTAGTAATATTATAGAATAATCGCCACATTTCTCCCCGATTATTTTGATATGTTATTGGGTGAAAAGGCTATTTTACGCAAAAAAAAAATAAATAAATTATCGACTAAAAAAGTGACACACCATTGTTTGAGAAGGACACAAATGTAGCTGTGTTAAAATTTGATAGTCGGTTTACCATATTTTACCTCCTAGAATAAGAAGTGTGATTTACACTACAGTAAATCAGACAATATCGGGGATCGAGAAAAACCTTCCAAAGCACGTCACTTTACAATGGAAGGAAGCCAAAATCCCTTTGCAACTTTTAGATTCGAATCCTGAATCAACCGTTCGCTTGAAGAAATGAGCTTTTCATGATATTCAGTTACCTCTTTGAATGCTCCAAAAAGTTCCCGTCAAGCTCCCGTCAAGCTTGAAACTTATTGCATCTAACTTTAGCATCTTTCATCTTCATCATTCATCTTGAAAATACTTTGTTAATTAGCTCACTAATAAATAAGTGGAATCAGCCATATGACTGCAATTTGACAGGCTAAGAATTCAATAAAAAAAGACTGAACAATTTTGTCCTAGGTAAAAATTCGTAAATATATATCCTTTCTTAAATAGTGTCCATTTATTCTTTTCCCTCTTAAATGATTTCTTTCATTGTTAAATAGCATTTAATAATAGATTTGAAACTGAAACCTGAAACTTATTTTGCAATGTTAAACTAAAACAATATTACGCCTGTGAAATCTGTACAATGAAACTCATATCAAAAACGTTTTTTTTTTCAAGATATAAGCTAAAGAAGCGCAAACTAAAGCTTTTAGTTTCACTAGTTTCAATAGTTTCACTTGTAGTTTCACTTGAAACTCAAGAAATCCTTAAAACCAATTAATCAACTACCGTATTCTCTCTAATAATAGTGCACCCGGCGCGTTGCCTAAATTCCTCGAAATCTCGAGAACCGCTTATCAGAACCTATCGATGTGGGGTCGGAAAATGTAGCTGACGATGAGATCTTGTGGGGGATTTGAGTGTTCAGCTTCTGCAAAAGCTTGGAAACTTTAAAATAGTCACCAACTCGGCTCAGCCGGGTGCACTACTATTAGAGAAAATACGGTAAGTCTAGTAAAATTCTTTGCAACAAATCAAAAGATAAAAAAAGAAGGGCATTGAAAAATAGAAGAACCGGCTCTTCTAAATCTTTACAATATCTTTCTTTTACTTAAGTCATCAATTGATTACGCAACTATCCACTGTACCACATACCTCCATTCTCCATAAGAAATGTAGTTGGTGCTGAAATTTTTCCCTTCATTCCCTTGCTAGGAATACCTTATTCTCTCTAGTAGTAGTGCACCCTGAGCGTCGCCTAAATTCCTCGAAATCTCGAGAACCGCTTATCAGAACCTATCGATGTGGGGCCGGAAAATGTAGCTGACGATGAGATCTTGTGGAGGATTTGAGGGTTGAGCTTCTGCGAAAGCCTCGGAAGCCGTAAAATAGTGATCAACTCGACTCTACTATTCGGTGCACTACTATTCGATACTTCTTATTGTTTTCATTTCGAATTTTACGGCATATTTTTTGTGGGAACCATAGAGCCATACAGGAATCGAATTCGGTGATAAACTTTGTGGTAAATTCTAAGCGATCAAAAATATTTCTCTTGAGTGTGCTTCAAATCGTTGAATAGAGCTTCCTTCTGTTCGACTGCCCGTGCAGCTCTCACTCTGCGAAGCGTCTGCTGCAGCTGAGCATCACTAACGTCTGCTGCAGCTCCGCATCACTAACCCATCACCAACGGTATCTGAAGAGCCTAGTTGAGTTTCCAGGAATCAAATCCGGTGGTTTGTGGTAAATTCTAAGCGATCAAGCGAAAATAGTGATCAACTCGGCTCGGCGCAGTGCACTACTATTAGAGAAAATACTATTAGAGAAAAGTGTCCGTATGTTTTTGATTTCATGATGGTTTTTGAAGTGTTATGTGAATGAACACTAAAATAATCAATCAACGAGACCAAAATGACGGCTTGTTTACGGGGGAATCGAGGGAAAGGGGGCAGCATTGGGGTAGACTCTCGGGGGGAGAAAAAGGGAGAAAGGAAAGAGAACAAAGTAGGCAAGAGCAAGAGGTTCTTGTTTTTTTCTCATTTTCCTCATTCCCCACAAACTCTTTCCCTTTTCAATGTTTTTCATATCACTAAATTTTTCCAATTTTTCTCTACAATGTTTTCAGGTGTTCCCCTGTACCTTTCCTTTTATTCAAAAAGTGCCCTCCAATATTTTTATTTGTTTTTCTTGACTCAAAGAACGGCCAAAGTTGAGTAAGAGAGAGATAATGAAAGGAAAAGTATTCAATAAAAATATTCTGAGCAATGTAAAACGTTAAGTTTTAATTTTGGAAATGATAAAAGAAATGATATTACCGTATTCTCTTTAATAGTAGTGCACCGCGCCGAGTTGGTGGCCATTTTACGGCTTCCAAAGCTTTCGCAGAAGCTCAACACTCAAATTCCCCACAAGATCTCATCGTCAGCTACATTTTCCGACCCCACATCGATAGGTTCTGATAAGCAGCTTCTCGAGATTTCGAGGAATTTAGGCGACGCTCTGGTACTATTAGAAAGGCGATTTAGGCAATTTAGGCGACGCTCAATTGATGACTTAAGTAAAAGAAAGATATTGTAAAGATTTTAATAGAAGAGCCGGCTCTTCTATTTTTCAATGCCCTTCTTTTTTTTTTATTTTTTGATTTGTTGCAAAGAATCTTACTAGGCTTACCATATTTTCTCTAATAGTAGTGCACCCGGGTGAGCCGAGTTTGATGACTATTTTACAGCTTTCCAAGCTTTTGCAGAAGCTGAACACTCAAATCCCCCACAAGATCTCATCGTCAGCTACATTTTCCAATCCCACATCAATAGGTTCTAATAAGCGGTTCTCGAGATTTCGAGGAATTTAGGCGAAGCTTAGGATGCACTAGAGAGAATACGGTAGTCGCTCGATCGCTAAAAAAGCAATTAACTCCGGTAATTTTTTAAAAGTTTGAAACTTTACAGAGAAAAATTGTCCTCGTTATCCATTTGAGGTTGTTCCACATGTTGTTACTGATTTCTGTTGCTCGTATTAGGTTGTCCCATAAAAACCGAGAGATTTTGACCGAGAGACCGAGAGAAACCGATGAATTCCGATGAAGTTAATGAGAAGCATTTCTTTTGAAATACTAAAAAGTAGTGGAATAATCGGAATATCAAGTTTCCATTCAATGAGAATCTTTTCACTCAATTTGCCCTTCATTCAAAGTATTGCAGGGGATTTTCTGTCAAAAACATTTCCCTTTCTTTTCCTTTCATCAAACTTTGGCCCTTGTTTCCCCCGATGTTTTCCCTGCCAACAAATGCACGACCCATATATTTTGTGCACTTTTCTCTCCTAAAATTCTCTACAAATATTTCTGTACAAACATTGCTTCTCCAAAATGTTCTCTTCAATTCAATTCGATTTTTATTTGAAAACATGATCATTTCATTGAAGCAATTGATAAGCGTTTAAAAGGAAACCATTTTTGTCCATTTTTTTGGACAATTTTTAACTATCTAGACTGTATACTCTAATCTAGACTGAATACCGTAATCTAGCTATTCTAGACTGAATATACTATTCTAGACTGAATACCGTAATCCAGACAGTCTAGATTGAATACTTTATCTAGACTGAATACTCTAATCTAGACTGAATACCCTAATCGAGCCTAAATACGATAATCTAGCTATTCTAGACCGAATATCCTATTCTAGTTTGAATACCGTAATCCAGACAGTCTAGATTGAATACTTTATCTAGACTGAATACCTATCTAGATGAGGATTTCGATTTTGAAACATTGATTTTATAAAAAAAAAGAAATTCATTCAATTTACCTTTATTTTAATATAGCATATTATATTTTAATTGTTTTGTTTATTAAAGTAAGAAATTATTTGAATACTTAAAATCGAGCTTATACAATAATATCTACAAATTTTCAGCGTCAAATGTACCAACCGGAAGTGAAAATGGAGCTATCGCCGTATTCGAGTAACGGGAATAATGCAGCGACAATCTTTCAACAGGTGAAATTATTGAAATAAATTAAGTAAAGGAAAGCAAAGAACAAAACGGGTTCAACTTTTATTGCTTTGCTTTTATTCTTTTATCTTTTACTTTCTTTCTTTATCTATTATTATCTTTATCTAATAAATTTCGATCCTAACATAGTTTTGGATTCTTTTTTCATCGATGACCGAAAAAAATGAGCAGATTTCTTCTGCATCTTTGAAATTTTCTTTTCAGAACTTTCTTTTCTTTCTTTCTTTTCTTTCTTTCTTTTTCTTTCTTTCTTTTACTGCTTCTTAGACCGCTAATAGCTTCTTTCCTATGAAATAAAAGAAGTGTCTCAACTTAAGCCAGTTATAAATGTTTTTTTTTTTTATTAATAAACCAGCAGAATAAGCTCCTTTCGAAATCGTAAAAATGATTGGCAGAAGCAAATTCCCTGTGTGGGAAAACCCAACCATACAAATTACAAACATGGCGCGGTGTATAAGCGTGCTCCCCTCAAGCGCAGACGACCCAGGTTCGACCCCCGCCAGTGACCACCTACTTTGACTTTTTGCTATTTTCCTTTTAAAAGGCCCAACTATATGAAATTTCATTAGAAACGTGTTTCAGCTTTTTTTTAAATACTCAAAGGGGACGCCCGTAGTGCGCGTAGAGTTCTGTCCAAAAAATGTTTTCATTCCTTTTGGTACTTTCATTTAAAATCAACAAATCCATCAATTAAACTATTTTCATTTATTTCTTTTCCATAATTCCATTCATTTATTAAACTATTTCATTAGAAAGACCAATAATTTTTATGCAAAATAACATTAAAACGGGTTTACAATGTCTTATGTTTCGACTTTTTTTTTTGGGGATATAGTCGGAAAGTGAAAAAGTGACGGCTTGATGATGTGGTTTAGAAGTTTTGCGCTAAGGAAACCGATCTTCGTGTCTATCAATAAAAGATAGACCATGAAAGGAAAAGTATTCAATAAAAATATTCTAGCAATTTAAAAAGTCAAGTTTCAATTTATGATGGAAATGATAAAAGAAATGATCTTACCGTATCCTCTCTAATAGTAGTGCACCCCGCCGAGTTGGTCACTATTTTACGGTTTCCAAGTTTTTGCAGAAGCTCAACACTCAAATCTCCCACTAGATCTCATCGTCAGCTACATTTTCCGACCCCACATCGTTAGGTTCTGATAAGCGCTTCTCGAGATTTCGAGGAATTTAGGCGAAGCTTAGGATGCACTACTATTAGAGAGAATACGGTACCCAGCAAGAAAAGGGTTTCAGCCAACCAGTTAAAAAAGAGAGCTAGTGGCACAGTGGATAGTGCGTTCACGATGCTATAAAGCCTCGTGACCACCTTGGCTTGATGCTTTTCCCTAGTTCAGCACAGTATACCGTATTCTCTCTAATAGTAGTGCACCCCGCCGAGTTGATCACTATTTTACGGTTTCCAAGCTTTTGCAGAAGCTCAACACTCAAATCCCCCACAAGATCCGATCGTCAGCTACATTTTCTTGGGCATCGTAAAGTCGGAAAGTGAAAAAGGACGGCTTGATGATGGGGTTTAGAAAACTTTGCGCTAAGGAAACCTATTTTCGTGTCTATCAATAAAAGATAGACCAGAAAAAGTTTTGTATATAGTCAAATTTACAGAGAAATTCGTTCAGCCAATTTCTTCGTAGAGGTTTTTATAGATTCTCAAGAAAAACACGCTTTTCCCTCTTGAATTCCGCTTTTCCCTCCGCTTTAATTTAAAGAAAATCATCGTTGAATTGGTGAATTTGCTTGTAAGTGAACCCAAACTTAAAATGACTTAAAATTGACTTAAAATGATGAAAATTCACCAAGAAACACTTTTTATTTACAGAAAATCATCGTTGAATTGGTGAATTTTTGTTATTTTTCAACGAAAGTACAAACGAAAAGATTTCCTGAAAAAGCCAAATATTTGATTGAACCAAAAAAAAGTCTCGATTTTTCATTTAGAACCTCTGAATTCTAAGCTTTCCTCAAATTTGTTAAACAAAAAAAACTTTTCCAGGAACCCCCGCCACGCAGAAAATTCTCGATGATTCAACATTTGGACATCGATCATTCGAGTCTGCAAAATGAGTAAGTTAGGAAAAAATTGTACTTTAAAAGTTGAAATTTGGTTTCAAAAAAAAGCAAAACATTTAAAAAACAAAATTTTGGGAAAGTTATTGAAAAAAAGAAGAAAAAGAAGTCCAAGACGGTATTATGGGAGTGGGACAAATGCGACCTTTTGTATGCGACAAATGGACAAACGCATTTGTCCCACTCCCAGTATTATTAGTTTTCAGACGCTTAACTGAATAAAATTTAAATTGAAACTCAAGAATTTTGTTTCATTCACTAAATCAAAAATTTCGAAATTACGCAGAAAACTTTAAATCTTTAAGCTTTAAATTTAAGGAAAGCTTTAAATCCTTTTTTCGGGAATGATTAAAGTTCTCGTTTCCATTTCAATCACCATTTTTTTTGAAACACGAGAAAATTCGGCTTATAGAGCTTCCCAAAAATTGATCACTCTTTGCAAAGAACGACGAGAAAGGACTAGAGATCGGGAAAATCAGGGAAAATGGGGGGAAATGGGGGAAAATGAGGGAAAATGAGGGAAAATGAGGGAAAATGGGCGACAAAAAAATCGTTTCATGAACAGATAATGCCTTTTTTTTTGTGTTGATCGAAAGAGGCAAAGGGGATTTGTGTGTGTGTGTTTGGGAATTCTCTGCAAAAAAAATTCAGCAGCGAGGAAAAGGCGCCTCTCTGTGCCCATTTTATTGCTTTTTTTTTTCCTTGCAGTCTTGCACACATACACAAACACATTTTTCCCATTTTTGATCAAATTTCATCGATTTTTCTGTAGATTTTTGTGTTTTTCAAGAAGCTTGAGTCTTTTTTAAAGCCAATAAATTTTTAATTTTAATGAAGATTCCAATAAAACCAGCCAACTCGCTTTGGTCTTTGATTTTTGAGTTTTGAAAATTTTTTCAAAAGTATATTTCAAAATGAATTATCTACTAGGTTGAAAAGCAAATTCTGCGAAAAAGTTTGATTGGAATTTCTTTGAAAAAACGAATCCACCAATTCGAGAACATTTTGTTCTATTATTTTGTTCTATTATTTTGTTCTATTAGTTTGTTCTATTATTTTGTTCTATTATTTACAAGTGGACTCCAAGAAATTGCTCGTAAAAAAAACAAATGAGTGCAGCTTTCCCTTAAATTTTAGAGATTTTTGATAAATTATTATTTTACAATATTTTCCAGCTTAAATTTAGCTTAGTTTTTGCACGAGAAAAATGATTTCTGATGATATAAAGCTAGCATAAATCTTTATCCGCTTTATTATCTCTATTTTTGGCCAAAACTTTTTGCACAGAAGCTGTATTTGAAAAAAATTATTTTTTTTTTTCGTGTCATCTTCTTGGCACTAAGTGTTCACTAAAGTACAGTACTGGACAATGAATCTAGTGCTTTCACTTTTCAGAATAACCTACACTACTGGACAATGAAATATGATATTTGAAAAACGATCGTCACTTTCGCGCGTCTGTAACTCCCTTTGTCTTTGAGTTTAAACTATTAGTGTTATACATTTTCTGAAAGCTCTTTTCAAGGGCTACACAATGGTAATATTAATATTTAGAAATACGATAAAGAAAAGGGAGTTACAGACACGCGAAAGTGACGATCTTTTTTCAAATATCATATTTCATTGTCCAGTAGTGTAGGTTATTCTTAAAAGTGAAAGCACTAGATTCAATTTGCCTTAATCACAAATTTCCCCTATTTTAAGTACTTGTTTTTAGGTTTTGAATGGGGGTCCATTGCCTATTCATTAACCAATTAAAAACTTGTCTAAAGGCTGATCACTAAAAAAGTGACTAAGTCATTTCAGCTGAAGAAATCTCTTATTATTTTACCTGAAGCCCACTCTGATTTTTTCATCAAAAACCTTTTGAAATATAGTCAAGTTTATCAAAAAAAATCTGGAAAGAAAGAATTGATGGCTTGCTTTTTGAGAAATAACCGTGCAAAAATTTTTCTACGAACTTTCTTTCCAAAAATTCCCTTCAAATTAGCGTTTAATTTTTATAAATCACCAATTTTGGAGCTTTAAATTTAAAAATTTAAATTTAACAATGAAAATTTCTATTTAAGAATAATGAATAGTTTAAATTATGATCAAAAACAAAAATAGTTTTTATTGAATTGTTCTTATTTGAAATTGCAGTCAAATCTCGCCATCTCTTCAACAGGAAAGTCCCGTTTTGCAAAAAACGAGTCGATCAAGTTGTCTTCAACAAAAGTGAGTTAATTATATGCTTTATTCAGTTGAATAGCGACAAAACAAAATCACAATAAGGGTCGGGATGAATGCCTTTAACAATTTTAAAGCATTCCACTAAAACGAGTCGATCAAGTTGTCTTCAACAAAAGTGAGTTGAAGAAAAAAATGCTTTAAGAATTGGTGACTATCAAATAATACTTTTTATATATTTATATTTAATTATAGCAATTAAATTCAAGATAAAATATGATACTTTAAGTCAAAAAAAATCGTGTTTCAAGATTGTTAAAATCCTTTGAGCATCTTAAAAATGAATGTTGACTTAGTTCCTTTCTTTAAAATTCTCATTTCTCGTTTTTTTTGAATGAATTTATTGAAGTTTTGGGAGTGGGACAAATGCGACCTTTTTTTGCGCACCCGAACATTTGCGCACCTTTTTTTCCGCACCTTGCCCATTAGCGCACCTTTTTTCGCGTTTTAAAAAAGCTCTAAAAAGCTAATATTAACCAATTTCTATTGCAAAAGTTATTTTTCTAGGTAATTTTAGGGTGTCGAATCGAAATTTTGACATATCAGAGCTTGTGGAAACAAACGGACGGAGTTATACAAAGAGAAAAATCGACAATTTTCTGTAATTTGATCTAGCCTGTCTTTCAGATCTAGATCTGTCTTTCAAATTGGTTCCACAAGCTCTGATATCAAAATTTCGATTCTACGCCCTAAAATTACCTAGAAGAACAACATTTGAAATAGAAATTGGTTAATATTAGCTTTTTAAAGCTTTTTTAAAACGCGAAAAAAGGTGCGCTAATGGGCAAGGTGCGGAAAAAAAGGTGCGCTAATGTCCGGGTGCGCAAAAAAAGGTCGCATTTGTCCCACTCCCGAAGTTTTATTTATTTATTTCACAAAATTCATCTTATTTCTCTAGCAAAATTGAAATATTATAAATAAAAGTAATAATTGTTTCAATATATACGAATTTTCTTATAAAAATTGATTTTTAATCGTCTATATAAAGGTTTTTAATGAAAATTTTTATAAATTAACATTATTCAAATGAAAAAGTGAAACAAATTATCAAGATTATCATAAGAAATCTAAAAAAAACTCTTTTTAAAAGTTAATCCTTTTACCAAAGCACAAAAAAAGCAAATAGCTATCATTTTTTTGCGATAAATTGGTACCTTCTCTCTCTAAATTTGGTTACTTATCTGGACAAATTTGGTTCCTTATCTCTCTAAACTTGGTTCCTTCCCTCTCTTTAAAAGTTAATCCTTTTACCAAAGCACAAAAAAAGCAAATAGCTATCATTTTTTCTTGCGAGAAATTGATAAGATTTATTGCAAAAATCGATCAGACAGATTTGAAAACTAATCATTTCATTTTTTTTTTCTATTTTCAAGTTAAATTTTCAAAAAATCTCCCTACATTTGTATTTTATCGAATCATTTATCATTACAGTTCAATTTTTAATTAAAATTTTCTATCAAAAAGCATTTTTGAAAGCTCAAAGCTCTAGAGATTTATTACAATTCAATTATTAAAGGAAAATTTAAAATTAGGAATTAACAATTCAAAGGTTTACCCAATTTTTTTGAAACATTGATTTATTTTTTCAGGGAAAACCAAAAGCAAGGCCCGAAAAAGTTAGAGATTGTCGCCCGGAAAGCGTCGCTCATGGCACAAAAGAGGTTGGCTTCAAGATAAAACTTTAGAAAGCGTTTTCTCTAGAGTTTTTTTAGTTGTTGAGTATTGTTTAGTTGAGTTGACTCTGCTTGAAATATTGGGAAACAATTGGTAAACAATATTTAATCATTATTTAATGATAATCATAATTCACACAGAAAAAGGCGTTTCTTTTTGATGTTATGAAAGATTTTTGATCATTTTCCTTATTCAATTACCTTTTCCCACCGTGTAGTCTATGCAAGAAATTACGCCCGAACTCGTTTTCAAAGATTCGATTTCAAAATACTCCATCAGAACCACCAGAATGGCTGTTAAGCTGAAAATTTGACTCAATTTGACAATTTTTTTGGTCTATTCGCTTCTAAAGCCACTTCAGTTAACTACACTACTGGACAATGACAATATGATATTTGAAAAAAGATCGTCACTTTCGCGCGTCTGTAACTCCCTTTTCTTTATCGTATTTCTAAATATTAATATTACCATTGTGTAGCCCTTGAAAAGAGCTTTCAGAAAATGTATAACACTAATAGTTTAAACTCAAAGACAAGGGAGTTACAGACGCGCGAAAGTGACGATCGTTTTTCAAATATCATATTGTCATTGTCCAGTAATGTACGTTGTACCTTTAAAGAATTTCTAAAAAATCTTTCAACTTAAACAAACATCTAATGACTTAGAGATTAATAATTATGTTATCTTTATGTTAGTGTATCTTTAAACCCTCATCATCCTAAAAACCTACCATAATCCATCTAATCCATCTAATAGATGTGTATTTTTCAAAAAATCTTCAGAATACTTTTCCCAAATTTTGCTAGAGCTCAAGAATCGGTGATTTATGAAGCTTGATCCAGTTTTTAATGTCATTAGCCTTTTCTAACCTATAACTATTGGATTGGTGAATTGAAAACTGTGGGCTATTTCGCGGGACTCACAGATAAAAAAAAACAACAGCCAAATGTCATACAAAACGCCACCCCCATTTTTCTTCACTTCCTCTATTGCACTCGACAATCTGCCACCGGGACATATTCGTCATGTATGACATTCGGCTTCATGAGTCCTCCCCTATGAAGGTACCTTAGCACTCTAGCATGATCAACCCCTAACTCTTCTCCCAATTCACTCGATGATACCCGATGGTCGTTGGTTCGAGTAATTTGGAATCATCCAGTTGGGGTGCCGCTCCATGGCCCTCTGTATCTTTCAAAGATTTGTCCCCAGATTGAAACTTGGCAAACCATGCTTGACACGTTCTTTCGGAAGGTGAGTTCTCCCCATATATCTTTTTAATATTAGCAGCTGCCAAGCCTGCACTGTGCTCTTGTAGGAGCTCATAAAGCATGACATGACGAATATGTCCCGGTGGCAGATTTTCGAGTGCAATAGTGGAAGTGAAGAAAAATGGGGGTGGTGTTTTATTAGAATATTTACGGTAGTCAAAAATTTTTCAGACCGTCATTGTACACAAACAGAAATCCATTGAGTAGAGGCTTGAATGTCAAATGAAAGAAAAAGAATGCTTGATTTGTATTCGGCGACTTTTACAGATTGAAAATAGCTTTTCGTACGCTGTGTTTTGATTGACGATTGGGATTCCCATTTCTTTGGTTATTTTTTTGAAACAGTAACTTTTCACGCAAATAGAACATGCACTTTTGCTTTATTATGAGACGATTTTGTGGAAGTTTTCCGTTTTCCGATCGTTTTTCGATCGTTTTTCGATTGTTTTTCGATCGTTTTCCGTTTTCCGATCGTTTTCCGAATTTCTTAAAACTTTAAACCCTTTAGAAAGAAGTTTTTTAAAAAAAAATGTAATCTAAATGTTTTGAGAGTGAAACAAATCAATTTTTCCTTAAAATTTACCATTTAAAGTTTGAAATTACGAAGATTTTGGGGTGGGACAAATTCGGAATTCGGATTCGTAGATTCGGAATTTCGACAAATTTGACGTGTCAGCGAGGTGTGATTTGTCGAAATTCGGAATCTACGCATACGATTCCCTTATATGGAAATATTTTCGAAGCTCTACGGCCTTGCCTAAGACCTTTTCCAGCAAAAAAAAGGTGCGCAAATGTCCGGGTGCGCAAAAAAAAGGCCGCACCCCCAAGATTTTCATTATAAGAACATTTTCTGGCTAATAGCTGAATATCTTTTATATTTTTAAAAAGTTTAATAAATTTGACAGGCTGTTTTTCAATTTTTCAACAAAATGTTGAAAATTTTCTTCTATTTTAATAAGATTCTTGAAGTTTGAAACATTCAAATAACTTCATTCATTTATTAGCTTCATTTTCCCCTCAATAACAATGTGAAATGAATATTTCTGTTGAAGATTGCAATTGAAAAACATTCGCAATTCTTTTCTCGAGCATCTTTACAAGAAAATCGAAATGAAAACTGAAATTCTTTCATTCTCGAGAAATTTTCTTTTGAAAAAAGCTGGAATTTCGGGAGTGGGACAAATGCGACCTTTTTTTTGCGCACCCGGACATTTGCGCACCTTTTTTTCCGCACCTTGCCCATTAGCGCACCTTTTTTCGCGTTTTAAAAAAGCTCTAAAAAGCTAATATTAACCAATTTCTATTCCAAATGTGGTTTTTCTAGGTAATTTTAGGGCGTAGAATCGAAATTTTGACATATAAGATCTTGTGGAAACAAACGAACGGAGTTATACAAAGAGAAAAATCGACAATTTTCTGTAATTTGATCTAGCCGTTTTGTCTTTCAAATTGGTTCCACACGCTCTGTTATGTCAAAATTTGAATTCGACACCCTCAAATTACCTAGAAAAACAACTTTTGGAATAGAAATTGGTTAATATTAGCTTTTTAGAGCTTTTTAAAACGCGAAAAAAGGTGCGCTAATGGGCTAAGTGCGGAAAAAAAGGTGCGTAAATGTCCGGGTGCGCAAAAAAAAGGTCGCATTTGTCCCACTCCCGGAATTTCTCTTTTTCTTAAGCTGAATTTTTCTTTAAAAATCTTTTTCTTTCTTTCTTTAAAAAATTTAATAAAAGAAAAGTTTTCACGTTTATTTTATCCATTTTGAAACTTTCATTTTCCATTTTCAAATGTGCTAAGAATTTTTGGCTTTCGTACATCACATCTAAAGGATTTCAAAGTCAAAATGACTATGAGTAAAAATGACTATGATTACTCATGTTAGGTTATAGTTTAAGAGGGTTTAAGAACAAAAATATCTAGTCAATAATGTATAAGAACAGTTTAAGACAAAAATATTTAAATGTTAAAGCTCTAAAGCTTAAAGCTCTAATATTTAGCTATTTGTGTGCTCTCGTATGGGGAGGGATCACTCAAAGAACGCATACATTATTTGTTTTGGTTTCTTCTGCATCAACTCTAGCTTCTAGTGCCACAATTCGTTTAGAGATTCTCTTAAAATGCGAGTTTCAAAGTGATTGATTCAAAGTGAAAGTGATTTCAAAGTGAGTGAGCGATCGATCTAATTGAGATTAATGTTAATGAATGGAAACTTGATTATATAATTTCTTTATCTTGATTTGCTTCGATTAAGCGAATTTCTGTCTCTTATTCTTTCGTTTCACACCTTTAAGCTATTTTTTGGTGGACTTGGAGGGGTTCGGGTGGGGGCAAAGGGACCTCAGCTTTGATTAAGCGAATTTCTGTCTCTTATTCTTTCGTTTCACACCTTTAAGCTATTTTTTGGACTTGGAGGGGTTCGGGTGGGGGCAAAGGGACCTCAGCTTTGATTAAGCGAATTTCTGTCTCTTATTCTTTCGTTTCACACCTTTAAGCTATTTTTTTTTCACACACCTTGATTTGATATTTGATTATAAAACCATTCACTTTTTGAGCGACTCGAATCTTAAACTAAAAACCTAATCAATAAAGCAAGTCTTCGTAAAACAATACGGAATATTTTGAAACTTAAACTTTAAATGATTGAATTTTGATCGACGATCAATCAATGATCGATTTTGATCGATTTTGATCAATCGTAGCGTCAATTTCAGCATCAATTATCCATCAAAATTGTCTAATTTTTCTAAAAACATTGAAAATTCTAGAATTTAAGTTAGGTTTCTATTTTTTTGTTAAATTTGTTAATCAATAGTCTCTTCTAAAAGCAATCGTTTCTAAAAGATCTTTTAAAAAAACTTGGTCGAGAATCGGAGAATGTCTTGCAGCGTTTTCTTTCATTAGTTGGTGAGTGAACGAGAAAAAAAAGCGATGGATGAGTGGTTTTTGCTTCTTTTGTAGCTGGTTTGTGGGTCGATGCGACGAAAAAAAAACGAATGTTTCATCAAAAAGAAAAGAGCTAGCTTGTAGCTGAGCGTAAACCACACACAGCGCTTTTTCTCTTTCATTCAATGTTCAATGTTCACTTTGGTTTATATGAGAGAGGAAGAGATGGGGGAAAGAGATGCGTACATTTCTGCTATCTGCTATTTCTATTATCTACTATCAGTTTTAGTGCATCGTCTAAATTAAAACTAAACTTTAATTTGTTCATAATGGCTAAGCTATGCTTGGGCTTTTGGATCGATTGGATGTCTAGAAGTACCTTAGAAGTAACAGAAGTAACGGTACCGGTATCACAGTGTTGGTTGTAACTATTAGGTTGGCGACATTGAAATTTCGTTTTTTTGCAGCAACAAGTTTATTCGTAAAAATAAACTAGAAACAATTAATCAACAATCTATTCCCCACAGCTATCAATAACATTTTTTCCTTCTTCAACGCAAATTATGGATACTCTCTTGAAAGAATTGTGCTGGTTTTGATTGAAAGAAAGCAGAGACCCATTTTTTGATGTCGTCAATGTTCTGGAACTTGTGGCTTTCGAGTGAATGCCGAATGCTTCGAAAGAAATGGTAGTCAGACGGGGCAATATCTGGACTATAAGGCGGATGAACTAGAAGTTCCCAGCCCCATTGCTCAATCTTCTCTCGCGTAATTTTGGCAACGTGAGGACAGGCATTGTCTTGTAACAATCGCACCGTTGTTGGATCAATTCCTTTTGAGCGAGGA